TGCACTGCTGTGTACGTAGGGCAATTCATGCGTGCACGTCATGCCCTCATTCTCTGGGCGCATGCCCGCAAAAGGAAGAGGGAGGAGCGTTCATCTAGAAATTTGACCCATTTCTGTGGCACTGTAGCATTCCGAATTGTGGTATATGTGACCGCAAATGCCCACATTGCGCTTGTCATCTCAAAATTGTCAAACCTGCTGAGGGGCCCTTTGAAAGCAACGCAATGCAAGAAAATGCAAGAAAATAAAATGTAGCAATAAAATGTAAGTGGCAGCTGAAGCACCACAACCTTGAAACTTCTAGCACAAAAAAAAAAAACGATCTCGTGGTCAACTAAAATGTACTTCAGCAAAATGTACTGCAACACAGTGGTGACACGCAGGGCAGCATATTGCATGTTTCTCACAATGCCAGCATGTCATAACTTACCCATTCCTTCTGGGATTGCTAAGAAATTAATAAAAGACAGTTTGGCAGTAATTCACAATGTATGTGAATTCCGATCGCCCATTGCTTCATTAATTTGTGCACTTGCATCCGCTGGGGGAGTTTTTTCCTGCAATGCATACATCAAAAACTAAGTTAGAAAGTTTCAATAATCATGTTTGCCAGACATAACACATCGCAAGTTTGGTCACACTGGCCATTATTAATTTCTTAATTTTACCAGAAAGCGAATGGTCACATCAGGATGTGTTGAATAGGTTACATGCTGCCCGCATGTCACTGACTCTGTTGCAGTGAAGATCTTGTTTTCCGCAAGCAGTGCATTTCAGTTGATCACGTTCTGTGGCAGCAGCAAAGCCTACCATTGCCTTGTGCTTGTGGCAAATTAAGGACCAGTTATTGCTGGAAAACATAACCCTTGGAGCTGTAAACTGGCCAGCACAGCAAACGACCAGCCCTGATTACTTTGAATAATCCCATGTTCCTTGCATCCCACTTTTTGTATGTTAAATTAATTTGAAAACACACTTAATTTAAAGATTTATCAGAATCCCAGTGACTTCAAGTTAACAAGGTTTTACTGTACAACCATAATCGCAACTCCATTCTACTGAGTTGTGATCGATATTGTAGCAACGTGGAAATAACAGAAAACAGGACCACGGTGAGACAGGAGACTCAACATGGGCGATGTAATCAGCATTTGTTTCGGCGCGTTTGCACTGATGTGGCAGTATAGCATCTTGCGTAGTTGAAACTTCACGACCATGAAAAAGACGGAATGGCATCATTCGTGTTGTTTCATGATGCGGCGTGTTATATGCGAACGTGACATAAGGCAAGATCTCATCCCAGTTTTTATGCTCCACACCAGTGTTGTGAAATGGGCACCTCCATTTTATCCCTATTCTGTTCCGGGGAATCAGGATTTGCCACAATTCCATTTCTTTTAATTCCTCGGAATGAAAAAAATTGGCCCATTTCCATTCCAAGAGTGGCGGGACGGTTCAATTCCATTCCTTCAATTCCTCAATGTAGTAAATGCACCTTGATAGTTTCATTGAATTAACAATGAACGACCTCATAAATATAGTGTCATGAGATGCATTAAGAACTGCAAAAGCACGTAAAACATGTTACCAAGGTCGAGGGTAGGTATCTTGGTGGCATATCTCGTGCAGTAAAACCACCCTACTGATTCCCATAAGAGCAGTTCTCCCGCTACATTTAGTATTTGCATGGTCAGCATGTTTGAACAAATGGTTTAATTGTTTCAAATTATTAAATTTGCTAATGCTAAACTGATGACATAGCGTACTTTCATGTTGACAAAAGTAGTGTTCAAGAAGACTAGGCAGTTTCACCCTGCATCTGGAGCGGTCGCGAATATGAAGAAAAATAAAATTTGGTTAATGGGGAACAAAACGCTCTAGATCTGCTGGTATTATATGGAACAGTGCACCATCGCTCGGGCACCTTGTGCCTTTGCAACCAATACAGAACATGGAGCCGCACTGCTCGTCAGCACTGATGCTTGCCAAGCCCGCCTCACAAGGATGAATGGGGTGAAGAGACTTTGTGCTACCCGGAGGGCAGGTACGCAATGTCTTCCTTGTCGCAAAGATTATTTATGTATGTCAGGTCACATGTTATTACATGCGTTAGTACGGTTATTACGTATGTCAGGTGAACTTGCAGTGAAGAAAAGCATTGCACCAGCTTTAATACATGTCACAACTTAGAGAAGCGTTTCTTTGAACATGCGTCCAATTCGGCTGACGACAGCGGATGGCTGGGAACTGTAGCGGGGGTGCAGCCGAGGGTAAAAAAATATCCCAAGGCATAAAAGAAAAGGAAGGGGGGGGGGGGGGGGGGGAGCATGCAGCTGCCCAACAGTCATTAGGTTCTATAAATGTTGCTGCAGCTGTAGTTCCGCTCAACCGCGGTTCAATGCCGGGGTCCACCACAGCTCCGCTAACGTGCTTGTCACGAAAGTGACAGTTGAAAAATATATGCTAAGAGATTGCAAAGAAAAAATCAGAAGGCACACATCTATCATGCGGAATCGACCAGCAACTTCTCCATTCTCAGCGCGCTGGCGCTAACCACTATGCCACTAAGTGTATGTTTTCTGAAGTGCTAACGGCAAGCCATTTATATACACCATACACTGTTTGGCAGTCCTCAGAGCTTCCAAACTTTAGCGCGTTTTCATTATCAGTGGAAAGATGGTGGTCTCTTCTGCGCACATGCTCATCAGACTCGTAATTCGAGATAAGACGAAAGTTACTTTCGCAAACTGCCATGGCCGCGTTTACGAAAGGAGCACGCTTCTGACACATGAAGCAGGAAAAATTGTCATAGATGTAATCCGCGCCCGTTCTGTGTATGCTAATCTTGTGCGTGCTTCCTGCTTGAGGTGTGCGTTGCAAGTTTCAAGCTGCTTGCCATTCCAAATGTGATTTTGCAATTTGTTGCTGTTGCTGAAACAATGGACAATAAATGCTCAACCACCTCTGTGAAGACACATTTCACTTTTGTGTTATACCGATTCCTATATAGGGGGATCAGCCACGTGTATTTTCGCATAGGGCCTGTGCACATCCTATCTGTACCGAGTGAAATGCAGCAAGATTGTGATGCACCATTTTCATGATGAAAGTGCATGCACAAGGAAGGTCATTTTGCACGCTCAATATAGCTGCGTTTTGCTTTTTTTGTGTGCTTGAGGCTTAGTGATCGTGGTAGCATAAATGGAGACCTTGAGCTGCACGTCTTTCCGAAAAAGTTATTGTGGGTGAAAAAAAGAAAATATCAGAACCTCAAAGAAAAGCTTCAGACCTTCATAAACAACTTGGTGTATATTGGCTTTGTCTAGTGATAGCCAAGCCAGTAAAACAGCCTCTCTGAAGGTGAACAGTAAGAAGAATAAATTTTCTATTCTTTGTAGAAATATTGCGCTTGTCTCTCCTCTTTATCTTTTTCTAATATTCTAAATGGGGGCACGCCATCGTTTCATTGTTAAAATATGGTGGAAATTTAATCATGAGCATATTTATCATGAACTTGCAAACATGAGTACTCTTTAGATCAGTCTACCTACTCTACTCGAAAGCATAGTTCTTATCAAGATGAATCAAATAAAAGCTTTTCAGAGTTCTTTTCCTCAGCATTGCCAATATACTTCCTTCAGTGTTTTCAAGCAACATATTTGGGCGTACTTGACATGTTAGCATTTGGTTTTTGGGGCACCTCTGATAATACGAACCCTGATAATACAAACAATTGATCATGGTTTCTTTGAGTTCATCCTAAAGAGAGTCTGCTATACTAAAAAAAATCACCATATCAGAACACTTTTCAAACTGGTCCCCTAATAAAAGCAACATGCAAGGAAGAAGTAATACTACATTTACCCACGTAATAAACCAACCTTTTTTTTTTTTCAGAAAAAGTGAGGCTAATTTGGGGCAGGGTCCATGAAATGGAAGAAAAAGAAGTCTATGGAGTTGGAAGAGCAAAAATTTGGCATGACGGTATTAAGAAACTCGCTGTCCAACTACTGCTGACCTTGAATTTAGTGGCAAAACTACGGAGCCTCTAAATTCATTCGAGAACTTTGCTCTTCACAAAGGGGAACTGTTCTTGTTTTGGCCCACATAACTTCAGATGAACCTTTCTTTTTTTTTTGCAGCCCAAAGTTCTTCCTGTTTTCTCCAGTAACGAACACACACGGATCGACGTAGAAGTGTAATCCAGCCATTCTGTTCCCATGCTTGAGCGCATGTTGAACCAGCTTTAAGTTTAAGACCGGCCGTATAGATAATGTACTACCTAGCCCATCATGCCCTGCACAGCAAGTGTTCACTACGAGTAATTTGACAGAAAAACGCAGCGTGGGATGGCGTCGTACACACAATGGGAGGGCCAAAGTGGGGAGTGGGTTCATCATGCAAATGGATTTATTACATGAGTAAAAAATGTATTTGACATGAAAATTTCACATAATACAGAAGCTACACATGCTCCAATATGCACGCATTGTCATTGCAAACATGGTTGCTTGTCAAAGACACTTAAACTGACACTCAGATAAAATTTGAGCAAAGTCATTCGTTTACGAAATTACGTCTTGTTTTCCAAATTACGCATCTGGCTTTCCACTGACACCAATGGCACTAATTGTCCTCCCCCTTGCATTGGTGGGAAGAGTCCTGCAGCCTCTCGAAAATGCTGCTGGTATTTCTCTGGCCAGAAAGTTTCATAACTGCTCTCCTTTGTTGTTATTTGGTCGTGGTGGCTTTACTGCATTTTCTGGGAGATTTATGGCTGTGCCTGTACTATTGGAAGGATTGCTCAAAAGTAAGACGCCCTGGGAAAACTAGTAAATTAGCATGAATGCTGTTCTTCAATGTTTAAGAAACTGTCCATCATGGGGCCGCTGTGAAAGTATATTTTGATTGTGTGCATTATAAAGTGTTGGCTTTTCTTGAAATAGCCATTAAAAGAAAAAGAAGAGACGTTTGGGCAATAAAAAAGACAGAGGGCTTACATCGTTGTCCGAGGTTCCGCAAAGGCCGCAGGACTTGCACTCGATGCACTGCCAGCGATACTTTTTCACCGACACCGTCATGTTGGGTGTGAACTGGAGGCATGACGGGTGTGCTGCATACAACAAAATGGCACACCTCTCAAAGCAGTTCTTCAAGAAAGCACAAGGTCAGCAAGCATGCATGTAACATAAGTGGAGGCCAAATGGTAGAACCCCATGTACTGTGCAGTGCTAGTGCATGTTAAAGAACACCAGATGGTCGAAATTTTTGCAGACTTTTACTATGGAGTCTCTCATAACAATATCCTGGTTTTGGGATGTAAAACCTCAAATATTGTTATAACTTAACTAGGAAGACCTATGAGAAATGACTTCGGTATTCACCTTGTCAGCTTTCACAATGAGGTGACTTACGTATAGCACACAGCACAGCTCCTGACCTATTTTAATTGGTATCTGAAAGGTCAACTCGTCTGCTAGTAGTTGGTTTGACGTGTTGTCTGAACAGATATGTCATCTGAAGTGAAAGGTGCAGCATTGTGCTCAAGTGTTGTATTCACTTGAATCTAGGCTGATGTTATTTTTGTTATATAAAAATTATATGCCACAGAGTAGGTGCTTGCTCAGATTCAGGTACCATTGACTCCAGCTGCTACATATGTGAAGACTCGGCTGCACCAGCAGCATCACAGCTCGCCATGCATCGATCTTAGGCTGCCATGTGCAGGCAGTTCTGCACACACGCTTGAGGCTCATTTTTGCGCCAATCTGAGGTAGCTGCACAATAATGTGGTCGCTAAGGCTCAGTAAAGAAGCAGGCCACGGCTACACACGCAAATTGTGTAGTTCCCAAATCTTACTCCCAAATCGCTCCCAAAAGATTGTTCCCAAATCTTGCACTCCATGTTCATGCAGCGAGAATCATCGAGCTAGCAAACTGTCATATTTGCAAAAGCGGATCAAGTGGCATACGGCACTGGCGATCGCAATGCAGTAGGATGCTCACTGCTCTCTTCCCCTCGCATGATTTGGGCACAGAGGTGGCAACTTTCTGGAAGTGACCATTCAGTACAGTTGTGTTGGTAGAGTATTGTGTTACTCCTTAAACCCATGCTCAAAGATACTTGTATCTTCCAGTACAGTATTGAAGATGCATGCATCTTAGATACTAGACATGGTGATAGGATAGACAAGTGGCCAAACACGCCGCTTCTCTAACGCAGCACGCGTGGCACAAAATTTCTCGAGTTGCCCCCGTTTCTCTGCAAGGTGGCAGCAGGGGGTACACTGTGCTGATTTCTACATTCCGCCACACTTGAATGTATGTAGCCAGAATGCGTTGCAAGCATTTAAACTAAATTTTTTGCGTCTGACTTTGAGAAGGAGCTTTACGGAGTAGTGCTGCCAAAGAGGTCTTGAGTAATACTTCTTAAGGTCGACAATTCAGCCTTCTTACGAGGCTGCCACTGGAGTGTGGCGCTTCCAGTTACTTGCATGAGTGCATCTCATATATGTTCGTGCCCTGAAGAGTGGGGCTCATCATTCATCTGACAGCATGTACACGTCGGTCTCCGAGTGTCCAAGCCTCTGTGGCACTAACCATGCGACAAAAGTGGGGTGACGTCCAGTGACAGAGAGCGAAGAAAGAATTCCCTGTCGCCCTAAGCCTCACCATGACGGAACGGCAGCACGATAGCCTTTGAAACCGGTGAGTCGCTTAAACTGTCCTGAGACCACCTTCAGCCATCAGCACCGTTCAACTTCGCGAACTAGGCAACAAGGTTGACATAGCTCAGCCGCTACGAAGACTTCACGGTGGTTTCGGAACTGACAAATGCGTTGAAAGATGTGCACGTACGCTCGCTGCTGGCCTGGAGGCACATCCCTACTCACCCTATCGCTCGCTTCTAACAAGTTGTTACTGCCCACTTCACTGAGCACTTCCTGCACCCTGCCAACGAGCTCTACGAGTCGTCAAGGTTGTTCAGCTGCCAGGCAAAAGGGTCGACACATACTACTCAGGATTATGGAGGATAGTCAAGCGCTGCAATTACCTGTCAGCTGCTGTCGAGGAAAGGCTGATCGCGACTACTTCGTTGTCCGCCTTCGCAACTCTCAGCCATTCGAATCAGCTGTGCTCAAATGCGAAGCTGACGCTCATGAAGACATGGACACAGGCCCGTCTGTCGCATGACGCTGACAAATACAAGAACCTGTCCCAAAACTGCACCATGTACTCACATGAGCTCAACCTCGATGCTCCGTAGCTAAGCCTATGTCGCAGCCATCCAGCCAAGCGCTCTCACAAGCCGTCCAGATGCGTACTATGCGAACACGCACCTCACCGGCATTCGGACCACCCTGCTCGACGCTCAAACTGCAACTTCAGCGAAAAGAAACGAGACTTCACGGAATTTCGCAACTTGCGGAAGCACCAGCAGCACAAGACCAGCTCCATTCACCTGCATGCCGTCGGCACGCACACCACGGCAAGGTATAACACTCAAGCATTTCACCCAAATCAGAGTATAGGACTACATAATGCCTGGCAACTGTTGAGACGAAACGTGTACATATGATCCCAGTGAACCGAAATATATAAGTATTTCCGAAATCCTTATGTGTGTGACAGTATCATTTTGTTTGTTTGACGAATACGTTACGTGACTGCTTATGAAAGTCATATTCATGTAATGTCTCCTGCTGAAGAAAGCACAGTTCTGTCAAATCATTTAGATCATTTGCAGATGCAGGCGTAACTTTTACGGTAAAGCGCAATGTACTTAGTGAATCGAAAACGGCTCATTTTGATTTCTGATACTATGGCACAGACATGTTCTAATACCGGAGTCTATGCCTGGTTTTAATTGTGTTAGTACAACTTAGCAGCATATTTTGTTAGCATCCACTCTGTGGTGTTCGCGATAAAAACAACGAACGTCGTCTCCTGCATCACCATGTTCACAATAAATCTTCTGCTCAGACTAGAGTCTCCCTATCGTAAGCTAAATTTTGGAAGCTTCTTACAGCTTTGGAAGCTTTCACTAGTTGTGAAATCTTGCACCTTGTATGTTGAGAAATTTGCGTCACAAAATTGAGGAGTAATCACCAATGTATAGCTAAAGAGCGTGTACACGGCAGGCACAGAAAAAGGCGAAAAGCGCGGGCGGAGCAGGGAAAGTCGGTGTCGTGACGTCACATCGCCGCGACGCCAGTTTTCGTTCTCTGGGCTAATACGTAATCCAGTCTCTCACCGTGCCCCTTTCAGTACAGCCAGTGCTCGAAACCTCAAAAGTAGAAGAATTTCTTGAGAACTCAAGGCTATGAAAGTAACATTGCACGTCGAGCTCTTCGAGGAATTGGGCACAATCGAGGGTCAGTACATTATTCAGCTGAAACTCTATGTGCCCTTCTCGCTGAGCGTCCCTCACAGTATCCTCATCATGCTGCTCGAGAGGTGGTCCGCCGCGAAGCTGAACCAATTGGATTGACAAGCCAACTCTGTGGTGCTTCAGTCTCATAGTCATCAGGAACAACTATAGTTCTTACTGGCTGTATGTCAACTTGATGCAAATAAGCAAGATTGTCTTCCATGAACAGCATATTGTGCCAATGGTTGAGCAGGACCTTGGCCTCCTCGGTGACACAACAGTTTTTTCAAGGCTGGATGCTACCTGCAAGTTTCCACCAGGTGAAGCTTTCTGCCTATACCCAAGAGCTGACAACATTCATCACTCCATATGGCCGATATTGCTTTTGTCAACTCCCCTTTGGCATCAGCTCAAAATCTGAATCATTTATCAGAATCATTTTTATTTCAACATCGGACTCGGAAAGAATACAGATGTTGAGGGCTGAGAGCTAAAAGCCACAAAACAGCTTGATGAGGCCCATGGTCCCTTGAACTTGGCGCTAACAGAAAACAACAAAAACCCAGAGCAGCGAGAATATACCACACATGGTCCTTCGCCTAGAAGTCAGTTTTGCATACATAAATATACATGTTACCTAAGACACGCACCGCAACCTACGGTGCAATGTTGCTCAAAAATGTGTTGTCATAATACGAATAGAAATAACGGCAAACATGCACACAAATACACAAACGCAGTGCCGATAACAATACCCTACCCTCCAAAACAAAATGCTTGCAAGTTTTTTTTTTTTGTTTTTCCCTAGAAGACAGGCTAATTTGTACTCATCAAATAGTATGACAATAAATAGCTTAACATCTGTTTGCCATAGTTATTCGCGTGCGTGGAAGTTCCCATTTTTCAGTGAGACAAGTAATGCGTAGCTTTTTATTTTCTGTTAGGCAAGAAAGGTTGCGTAAAAAGTTGTTCTTTTTGGCGACACCAGTGTGATAATGCTTAAACAGTGTCTTTTCATATAGTGATGAAAGCGGAATTAAGTTAAGCTCAATAAAAAATGGTTCAGTGTGACTGTTGTATGGCATGCTCATGACGGCACGAATTGCTTTCTTCTGAATTACGTGGAGATTCTTAATATTAGTGAGCGTTGTCGTACCCCAGACCAAGTAGCAGTAGTTAATATGCAATACAAATAGGCTGTAATAAATAACAAGCTTAATATCTTTAGGCAAGTAGTATTTGCATTTGTTCAGAATACTGCTCACCCGGGAAATCTTACCAGTGATTAGTTCAGTGTGCTTATTCCAAGACGTGTTTTTCTAAAAAAAAACAACAAGACTCTTTACAGAAGGCACAATTTCTATGGGTGAATTTTGATAGTACAAGCCTATCTGAGCTTCTATTTTATGGTTTTTAGGTCTAAACAAGACAGCCTTCGATTTAACAGCATTTCTTTCAGGACCTCCGCCCCCCCCCCCTCCCCCCGAGTTTTTTTAGAGACAGATGGCAAGAATCCTGGGGGGCCAAGTAGTTTTCAACATCACAGATGACATGCTGGTTTGGACGCACCTGCCAGGAGCATGGCCCCAGATTAAGCCAGGTGCTATCTTGCCAAGCAAAATAAGGACAAGTGTCGTTTTGAGGTATCTGAAGTCTCCTTCCTTGGAGTTGACATTTCAGCTCAGGGTATCAGGCCAGATCCAAGCAAGGTTGAAGCAGTCAAAACCATAGAAGCTCCAACA